TTAAGATCTCTGCCTAGTATTTTAGGTTCTTGCCAAAGAAAGAATTCAGAGACAAAGTAAGGAATTGTGAGGGAGTTTTATCACATAGTGAAAGTGCAATCAGAGATGCTAGGCAGCAGGGAAGAGCATGAGAAGGGCCGTTTACAGCCAGCTGCTTCCCAGCACCATTTGGGACACATGAGCGTCTATGTCAGCTCCCTCTGGTACAAACAGCGTGAACCATGGCTGATAACATCCTTCATGATGTGGACAGCAGGTGCCTCCCATATTGGAGCCCCTTGGGGACAGCGGGATATTAACATCCTCTGGCTTGAATAGCCAAGGATGATTAGAAAACCCCTTTCCCAATGGCTTGGTTAGTGGCCTGAGAATACCATTTTGATGTGGGCAGCAGGTGCTTCCCTTGGCCAGACCTTTGGTAAGAAACAAATCCTGTTTTACAACATATGACCAGCTTAAAGCCCAGATTTGGAAAGAATCATGCCACACTTGCAGACAGGAACAGAAATCAGGCTGTGTAACTAACCCATATATAAGGTATGTGATTATGCTCCAGAAGCTCCTCCCTTTAGGCAGTCACATGCAAATTGTCTGGGGAACCTCAAATTCTGAGGTGTAGTTTAGAAAGCATTTCTCCTTGTCGTCGATTTCTCCTCCTGACACTAGCCAACATCCTGTTCCTGCTTGCTGGAGAGCTTTCCTGGCAGCTGGGCATTCAAACGATCTCCAAAGGCTCTCACTGTGCAATGACATGCACAGACGGCAGTAGTTTGGATGCCAGCTTTAGGGACCTCCAGCTTAAAGAGCTTTCTTTTTCTCCTTTTTCCATCTCTCATCCAGGCAACCGCTGTTATCTCTTGCTTGCCTGTGCTGCTGTTTTCTCTCCCTATCCTCCAAGGAAGTCCCTCAGTTCCTCTTAGAGTTCGTTCTTTAATTCTTTCTTTTATGAGACCAGAGAACTGAAAAAGGACTGTATGCCTACTGTTGGCAAAATCTAAGAGAAGGGGCCCTCACCTGGAAACAGCCTTCTATCTCCCAGGCAATCTTCGAGACAGGGTTTCTCTGTGTAGCTTTGGAGCCTATCCTGACACTTACTCTGGAGACCAGGCTGGCCTCGAACTCACAGAGATCTGCCTGCCTCTGCCTCCTGAGTGCTGGGATAAAAGGTGTGCCCTATCAATGCCCAGCTAAATGTGTAGCCCAGGCTGGCCTCGAAATCATGATCCTCTAGTTTCTGCCTCCTTGTGCAACTCATGCCTTCATGAGCCAACACGACCAGCATCTCCCTGGCAATCTAAATGACAGGAGGGTTATTTATGATCTAAGGTAGGGACAGGTTGAGGAATTATGTGAAGAGTCAAGTTTGTCCAGAACAGAGTTCGCTTCCTTCTTCTGTCCTTGCTTGGGGTTTGTGGATAGTCATGTCCTGGATACACGATGGAAACAGCCAGTTCTGTGAATTTGCCAATATGGAGTTTGCCAATAGACTATGACTATTGATTATGAAGAAAAGAACATTTCACTGTGGATCATCTTAGTGGGCATGTGTCTCCCAGCTGGTTTAGGTAGTCTTGATTTTCAGTGTTTGAGTGGTCATGTTGTGATTCTGGCCAGCCTGCCTCAGTTATTCTCACAGCTGGCTTTATTGCTGAATACTTGCTGGGAACTCGGCAAAGAGACAGAGAAAAATTGCCCAACTTCTGAAGAGTCTGTTGTTATGAAAAAGCCAGGGCTAGGGGAGGAGGCATTCATTCCTCTTCTTCAAAAATTCTTTATGAAAAAGATTGTGAAGACACAAAGGCCTGAAGAAAAATGGATCTGAACATTATGCAAATGTGGTAAAAATGCATGCAAATTGCAAATGCAGAGGAGAGCAGAGGACTTGGCCAGGCAAAACCCCAATCCAGAAGAAAAGGGGGAGGAGGAAGATGGGGTGGGGGTAAGGATATGGGGAGCCTGAGAGGACAAGGGGGGAAGTGCCCACTTCTTGTTATCACTTGGATGCATAAGCCTTTCTCTGGTGAACCCATATAGAGACCATCTGCCAAGGGAAAGGTTTCCTTTGACATTGGATCAGGGCTGCCAGGAAATTACAAGGGGGAAGTAAACCCTGGGAGCAGTCCAGCAAGAGCTTTGGTCAGCTGCAGTGTGTGGTCATATTCCAGTAGAACTTGGGTCCCTGGTAAAATGATCCATTTCACTCTAGGCTTCCCAAAGATCTGTCAGTCTGTAGGGTAAGTGGTGAAAGGTTCTGATGGGCTGTGACTGGGGTCAAATGCTTTTTTCTTGTTGTCTGATCCTTGACTAGCTAGCCAGCATCCTTCCCAGGGTCCAGACCTGCTGTGTTGTGCCTACTGACCTGCTCCACTGGACTCCAAGCACAACCCTTGGACATAGTGAGGTGTAAGGGAACTAAATGTCCACCATGGACTTCCTTTATTAATCCGAGAATCATTCCATATGTCCTTATGTCTCTTTTCATCTTTTACACTTCACTCATGGCTCTGGTTTTGTTTAGTACCTTTAGTGTTTAAAATACATTTGTTTAAAAATTTTATTGTGGTGACATTAGTTTCACTAATTAGCAACTAAGTATTACAGAAGACATCATCCTGTAAAATCCTGGGCTCCATTGCCCCCTCTTTAAATCTTGCTTCCCCAGCAGTGGGGCAGGGAGCCATTGCCAGCATTTGTTATTATTTTCCTCTGGGTTGCCAGCCCCTCAGCTCTAGATAATAAGCTTCTCCATCTATTTCTGGTTTATTAACTCCAGATCCTTATGACTGATTTCTGCCTGTGACAGAGGACTTAGCTTACTTCCCCGGCTCCCACATCCCCTTCCTGCCTTCTCCTAGCACAGCAGTGTCATGATCGTCACTTCCTTCCTGGCCTTCAAGTTTTCACACTGTGCTGCACCCTTTCTCCTACCACCCACTGGACGTGGCTCCTTTACCTGGCCCCACTGTGAGATGAAGATAAAGTTCATACCTGGTCCGGGTACTAGAACTTCTACATATGTGACATCAAGGCCAGTGGCATTTTCTCCACATTCCTTTAATTACGCCAAGTCTCAATTATTTGTCCACAGGTGGATGCTAAGCATCCCAAGGCAATAAGCAGCATCTATGCTATCCTAGCTATGTCAAGTGCCCATCTGAAGACCTGCAGTGAGCTCTGTGTAACTCTCCCTTCTCCTATCTGGCTCTGAGATCCACCAGCTGAACCCTTTAATGGAAAATGTTTTCAAAGCAAAGTTCAAATACTTCTTCATGCATTTTTATTTCAGTTTAAATTTTATTCAGACCACAATGTCTGGAAAAGCACACACCTGTCATCCCAGCACTTCAGAAGTGGAGGCAAGATGATCAGGAGTTCAAAGTCTGTTGTTGGTTGTCTTGTTTTATTTTTTTCCTTTCTGGCTCTTTGCTCTTTTGGAGAGCCCACCCAGCTACCAAATAAATACACAACTGGAGGCTTATTCTTACTTATGAATAAGCCTTACCTTGGATTATTTCTAGCCAGCTTTTCTTAAATAATTCCATAAACTTTTTGTCTCTGAGCTTTTTATTTTTTAGTTGTTTTTTGAGACAGGGTTTCTCTGCATTGCTTTGGAACCTGTCCTGGAACTCGCCCTGTGGACCAGGCTGGCTTCAAAATCACAGAGATCCACCGCCTCTGCTGCCAGAGTGGTGGCAATAAAGGCATG